CCAACAGTGTCTACATGATACATACACGCACAGGGGTGTGTGTGTGTGTGTGTGTGTGTGTGTGTGTGTGTGTGTGTGTGTGTGTGTGTGTGTGTGTGCGCGTGTTTACGCCAATGCTGCTCCCCTCTCTATACATTATGCATACAAAAGGCGTTGCCTGCAACCCACAGATAGAGACGGCTTATGAATGCCGACCATATCGCAATTGAAAGATTGTAATTTATCGATATCCTACTTCATGACCGTTAATTACCTCCATCAATCTTGCTTGCTTATGCTAATCGGCCATATGATGTGCCTCTGGATATTCCTTCTAGATACGAATGCAGGCACAAGTGCCTGCGAAGGCGAACGAATGATTGAGGAATCTGCGTGTATATATAGTGTCTACGTATTTAGGGAATTCGCCCGGGCACCGTGTACATGCACAGGAGCTAGGGCACGGGAGGGAGAATTCACTGAAACACAAGCTACGAGCATCAGCGATGTGCGTTGCATCTCGCAGTCGCGCGCAGCAGTGTGGATTAAGCGAGGTACCGCCATCGTTGCAGGGCGAGGCGATGCGCACTGATCGTACATGGCCACTTGATACCTAAACAACGAGGTGTTTGTGTTTTCGTTCAGCTTGTTGTCACTCGCTTGATGGCGTTCGTGCCATTGTTTGTCGCGGGCGCGGCGGCAAGTGTGAAAACAATTCTCGGATAACGAAGTGGACACCATCCCGCCGAGCCCCGGAGAAAAAAGATTGCCGCTGCGTTGTGATGCGCGTGCAGGTGTGGGTGACAACCGCATTGTGTTCGCCCGTGCGCGCGCAGCACCCCAGTGTCTCTCATTGTACTGCCCCGAGTTGACACGCGGGACGGAACGAGAGAGTGGCGGTAATCGTCAAACGGGTTAATTAGGAGTTTCTCTATCGCGCCTTACATAGGCTAATGATGTTCCGGCCAATATAGCTTATCAGACCCGCTTGCTTTTTTCAGGTGCGGGCGACGGGTTAGTTCCTGAATGATGCGCTCGTTGCTAAGTGATTAGACAATCAAACGATGTGCTTACGGGAGGATAAAGGCCGCTCGTGACGAAAAGCTGGTCGTGAAGACAATAGAGCATTCATAGAGCGCGTTGTCAGCTAGGCATATCATGCGCGAGTATCACTAAGTGCGTTATTCCACAGCGAGTGATGATAATCATCTGTTCTCCTCTGGGTGATTCAATAACTCAGGCACGTGCTTGCTTCATGGTCATAGCGCTATCGCCAACGCCAGCCAGCACTACCGTCCTGCTAACGTCCTGTTGACATATCTGTTACCAATATAGCGTCTTTAAATGAATAAATATATAAAAAAAATAACACAAATAAAAAATAAACGCCAACGTCCTGTCATCACTAAAGTCCTGCTAACGCCAGTGTCTTGCCATCATCAACGTCCTGCCAACGCCAGTATCCTGTCATCATCAGCGTCCTTCTAACGCCAGTGTCCTGTCATCATCAACGTCCTGATAATGCTAACGTCCTGTCATCATCAGCGTCCTGCTAACGCCAGTGTCCTGCCATCATCAACGTCCTAATAATGCTAACGTCCTGTCATCATCTAAGCGTCCTGCGAAGCGCCAAACGTCCGTGTTATCGATCAGCGTCCTGCTAACGCAAGTGTCCTGCCACCGCCGCCAACAAAGTTACAGCAGACGACACACAAGGCCGTGCTGTCTTCCCGTTTTAGGTTCTGAAAAAGCGAGCCGTCTTCTAGGGCGATACAAAATACATATCACAGATTTAATAGGGGCCTCGAAAATAGAGCGAAACGGAGTGTCGTATTAAAACATCCGCAGTGAGTCCCAGGAGGTCGCAAGCCAATTTATGGTCTCTATCATATCCATTATTCCGAACTGTTTCAAATTTGGTGGATTAAATTGCATTTTAACCAGGGCGGGTTAACCAAGTGTTTAGAAAGATGCCGTCGGCATTTCCGTTCGATATAATCGAGGCAGCAAGGTGTGCTGTGTCGCTACCTGGGCGGTACGCTCTTTTAGCGGCTCGAACAACCTATATCCTCCTAACCTGTGCGCGAAGCAGAAATCAATGTGTCCCTGACATCACACTGCTACACTCAGCACCTACGCTGCACATGGTGCGCGTAGCGTATCGCGCTGTCCAGCCACTGGATATAGGCAGTGGGATATTTTTAGAACGTATGTAGCCGAATCGAAGACAAACGAACGTTCCGGTCAGCCTACCGTGCGATGTGTTAACACAGAGGAGGCAAGGCGGCAAATCTGCCAAATAATCGCCAACAGAATGGATGGATAGATGGATGGATGGATGGATGAAGCGAGACGACGCGCGACACGGACGCACCGATGCATGGAATGGATGAATAGCATGGATGCATGGATGGCTGAGATGGATGGATGGACGGACAGACCCGAGACGGGAACCGGACGGATGTATGGCGATCGCGCACGAATGGTAATGGATGCATGGATGTGATCGGATGGAAACGGACGAACGCCGACGACTCGCGAACGGACGGACGGATGGATGGATGGATGAATGGATGGATGGATGGATGATGATGATGGATGGATGGATGGATGGATGAATGGATAGATGAATGGATTAGTGGATGGGTGAATAAGAGAGATAGAGAGAGGTGAGAAAAGTGTGTGCTGCCTACGTGCGTACGCGCATGTTTAAGAGACGGGGCGAAAGAGAGGGGGAGGTAGGGAGGAAGTTAGAAAGAAATGGAGAGAGGAATGAGGCAGGGACAGGAATAAGCATTCATTTCATTACTTACAGCTAAACATTCGCAGTGTACGCAGTACATGACTCCAAACGGCTCGCCCAAAGACGGGTTCCAAGTGTCTCCCAGCTCGTATATCTCGCCTCCAAACGAACATCCTGCAAAGTGTATGTACGTCAGTGATAGCCGTGGCCTCCATGCTTGATTGCGAGGGCGCAGGAAAAACATTATATCTTCGTTTCAAGGGGTTCCTTAATCGTTGTTCTGTTATTTCTTAAGAATAGTGTGAAACGGTTATTACGTACTGTGTAAGAAACGTAATAAAGTTTAATTAAATATAGCACCTTAATTTAAAACTTATACTAGTCGCTCATATAGCATCCGAATCGTGGTTGTATCTCGCGACGCAACAATCACTGATAAAATAAATAAATAAATATAATATATATAAATAAATATATACATTAATAAATAAATATATAATATATATATAGGCCTATAATGAAGACGTGAAGGTGTTTCAGAAACGTCACATGGGCTCTCGGAACGCATGACATACACCCGTGTACGGGTGCTTAACTCGTGATGAAATGTCACGCTCGCTTTTCACTATTTCTGTTGCAGAAGCTGCACACGCTGTGATTATGTATAGGAAATAAATATGTATTTAATATGCACGTATAAACCGCAACGCTAACAATAGAATTTTAACGTGACTCGATGATTCGGAACAAGTATTATAACAACCAATAAATATTTCTGTCATTTCTAATGAAGTCAGCGCGAGCTTGAGCTTACCTGGAAACTTTCTTGTCTTGGCAGCGTGCTGTTCTGATTTCAGCGGGATATTATTGTCTGCTACTTGGCGGAGACAGAGCACAGCACGAGGCGGTAGAAGTATCAGCAACAACATCAGCAGCAATAGCGGCAGGGTATAACGGCGACACATCGTAGCTGCACGTGGGCGTTTCAAAAACGCGACTAGTTCAGACTTCGCAGGCGCGCAGGCTGTGCAGAGGTATACCGTGACCGGGTGGCCACACAAACACACACGCACGCACGTACTCTCTCTCTCTCTCACAAACACACGCGCGTGATGTTGAGCGAGTTGAATGGGAATTTAAACGATACTAGAAGGCAGTTATACGTTCTGCTATAGCTCTCTTCGCGGCAGCCGCTACGCAAGTCAAAGTTCTTCGAAATTCTCGTACTGCTGCTGTGATCCGGTGACTGCGCAACGAACACATGTGTCAACCTCAACGTCACCTGTGTGTATATATATATATATACACACATATTTATGTGTGCAGCGTAAGCCATTTAGTTTGTTATGCGGGGATCAGTCGCGGCTTATTTAATCGGCTGCGCGCGGGAAAACTGCATCCATTCTTCTCGTAATTGGGTGACAACGACTGCTTAGCGCGCCAACACAAAACGCTATGTCATCGTTGCTGCCACGAAAAGCGAGATGATGACAAAAGTTTCTCCTGGTCATTGTCGGCGAATATCTAAAAGCAACAATGACCTCATCGGGCACCGCGTTGCCGCGATCACGTGACAATTAAGAGCACAGGCGACCAGAACGACGGACACCGGCAGATTTTGCAGCGTAAAATAGTAGTAAATAAAGTAAAATTCAGAGTTCAGTTGCGAAATCACGTCGTTGTTGCGGCGGCAGAGGCACAGATCTGTTTAATCATGGATCGATGCGTTCTCCTAGTGTCGTATATCATTATGCCTTCATCATCATGCAATTACTGCAACCGTGAATATACGTATACGGGTTTCAAAACCTAGACAACACAGTCAAGCAAAATCCACCGCACACATGGTAATAATAATAATAATAATAATAATAATAATTATTATTATTATTATTCATGTGCACCATTATCATTATTAATATTATTATTATCATTCATCATTCATTCATTCATCTCAATCATTTATTATAAGTATAATTTATGTTGTCCTCACCCAGACTGTAGCAGCCGTATGTGTAGCCAGCAAACGCACCCCTAGCGGTAATGCAATCGGCTAAAAACCGGATCTAGGATCATTTATCAGAATAGGAATCTGAAGAAGAGATTCATTCGCCGCGGGGAGCATGTATAGGCAGACGCACGTAATTAAACGCACGTACCCAACGCAACACCGAGAGAGATCATGGGTCATTCCGATTACCGCTAATAATTGTGAACGTAGACAAACCGTGCCTCTTCGGTTTCACGCTACTCGGATTTCTAATTTCTCGGATGTCAGCAGCTAACGGCTGGCGACACTGAAGCCGTGTCTGTCATCTCATCTCATTGCACTCTTCGTGCATTATCCGGTAATGTTCTCTCAGTGGTACTCATCATTACACTCAGCGCACCAGATCACCTTTCCTGTTTATCACATTTATCATCGCCAATTCATATTATTATTAAAAATTTTACTTTATATGTACCTACCAGTAATTTTTGGTTAGGTAGCGCATATATATATACAGTCCGACCTCCTTTATCCGGCCATCCGTTATCCGGAAATCTCTATTCCGACGTGGCCGGATAAAGAAAATCGGACTGTATATGTTACGCATGGACACGTTTAGTTCTAGATAAATGAGTAATGATATACCTGCACAGTATTTTACGAATTATTTTAGTCAATACAAAGTAGGCCCCTACTGTAACTTCACAATCGTTAATTGTAGGGAGCCGTTATTTGCATGAGTTGCTTGCATGCATAAATTTTTACGCGAGTTTTGCATTTTTAACGTGTCGCTTGGATTTTTGATTAGATTTTGCATATTTCTGAGGGATAACCATTACGTTGCTTTTTTACATCTCTGCTTTGTTATAATAGACAAAATCCCATCACCAATAATGCTATTTTCCATCATAATAACTGATAAACCTCACACGGGAATAAAAATGTCAGTAATTGTGTCAAACCTTTAGTTTAGTGGATTTTTAACAGCAAAATTCTCAAATTTAGCTAAAAAATAGTTGAACCAGTAATCTTCGGAGTAGAGTGCGAGCCACGACCCACCAGCAATACAATGTTTTATTATTCATATAATCGCTCAGGTAATATATTTCGTAATGTATGCGTGTTGTAATGAATTATGTAAATTAAACAAAATCCGCATTTATTAGCTTATTGTTTATGATTAATTTTAACCCGCATCAGTTCCACAATGATTTATGTGTCATAATAGTTCAATAATCGCTCTTAACTCTAGGATGAATTTATATGATGAATTTAATGCCATATTACTTCCCACGTGCACACTGCTTTTACGATAAATTAAGCGCTATGATATTTCATATTCCATCGCAAATTAGTTAGGGAGGAGTAGACGTCGTAACACTTCACACTTTTGCCGACTGCTTCAGTGATAAGTTAAGACCCATAAGAGCACATACCATCTAATTGCTCACTGGTACCTCGATAAATTAAGACTAATAATACTTCACACTTGCTCATCGCGGCGGCATAATTAACCCAATTACTATATAAAGCTTGGGTTGATAATACTCACCCACCAGTTTCTCGGTGTCGATGAATAAAACATGAGGCAATTTTTCGCACCCCGCCTTTTTCTCTCGCGTGACAAACGCTCTCTCACGTGCCTTTCACGCGCCAACGACAGCCATTGTCGGCTGCTAACCACGCATCGACTACGCGGGGCGCAAGCATTCAATGCGCTGTACAGCAACGCATAGCAACGCAGCCGCGCGCACGCTGACTCGCGTCTTTCTTACATTGCCGATCTCTTGCGGCGCAACGGATTACGATCTCGAGGTGACAAACATGCTCGATTGTCATCGAAGGAGTCACACGCGACACCGACAAGCCTCGCGTTTAACGCCGCCGTTGGTGGCAGCGGCGAAGGCAACCGACCGCCATTGCGTGATCACACATCAAGGTAAACCGCGCGCGGTGACCGCACTCGCCCGTGCACGCGGTCGTCGCAATGATAGACAGCTATAGTTGCATATATACGCACACGTATCCAGGCCCGTAGGCAGGTTTTTTACGGGAGGGTGCGATCCGACGAGTATACAGACCTAGCGAGCGCCGGAGTTTTGAAAATTAGGTTGTCTGAGACTGCATTTCGCGCGTTTTGAAGGCAGTATGATATGAAAACAGGCAGCCAAAAGCGAACATCAAAACGTGGACATTTCTCACATTTTCTCAACAGACTACTTTTATCAATCAACGAATTAGAACACAAACAATGATATTATTGTTTTATTAATTCACTTTTTTTAAATCGTTGGTCCACAAAAAAGTGGACCTCCGCAGCCTGTGGGGGGGGGCGGACCCGTCGCATCCCCCTTCCCTACGGGCCTGCGTATCAATCACGGGCCGTGTAAATAGTTTACGTTGCGAGCCCGCTCGCTGGCGTTTTTCGTGCGCGTGCCGTTGTCTTGCGTCGCACGACAGGGTCGTCGCCGCCACCGTGTCGAGTGTGAGGTGTATGACAGCAGATCAGGCTCGTCTTTAATTATTTACAAGCATGCCTTTAATTAATTAAATGCGTGTATGTAAAGTTACAAGCATGCAAACGTCCTGTCATCATCAGCGTCCTGCTAACGCCAGTGTCCTGCCATCATCAACGTCCTAATAATGCTAACGTCCTGTCATCATCAGCGTCCTGCGAACGCCAACGTCCTGTTATCATCAGCGTCCTGCTAACGCAAGTGTCCTGCCACCGCCAACAAATTACACGCAACACACAAGGCGTCTGTTTCCCGTTTTAGTTTGAAAAAGCGAGCCGTTTCAGCGATACAAAATACCATACACAGATTTAATAGCATGAAAATAGACGAAACGGAGTGTCGTATTAAAACATCCCAGTGAGTCCCAGGAGGTCGCAACCAATTATTGCTCTACCATATCCATTATTCCGAACTTTTCAATTTGGGGATTAAATTGCATTTTTAACAGCGGGTTACCAAGTGGTTTAGAAAGCATCCGGTGGCATTTCCGTCGATATAATGAGGCACAGGTGTGCTGTGTCGCTACCTGGGCGGTAGCTCTTTAGCGCTCGAAACCTTATCCTCTACTGTGCCGAAGCAGAATCAAGTGTCGCCTGACATCACACTGCTACACTCAGCACTACCGCTGCACATGTGCCGTAGCGTATCGGCTGTCCAGCCCACGGGATATAGCAGTGGGATATTTTAGACGTATGTAGCCGATGAAGACAACGAACGTTCGGTCAGCCTACGTGCGATGTGTTACCAGAGGAGGCAGGCGAGCAAATCTGCCAAATAATCGCCAACAGAAGTGGATGGATAGATGGATGGATGGATGGATGAACGGACGACCGAACGGACGGACGGATGCATGGATGGATGAATAGATGGATGCATGGATGGATGGATGGATGGATGGACGGACGACCGAACGGACGGACGGATGTATGGATGGCCGAATGGATGGATGCATGGATGTATGGATGAACGGACGAACGGACGATCGAACGGACGGACGGATGTATGGATGGATGAATGGATGGCTGGATAGATGGATGGATGGATGGATGGATGGATAGGTAGATGGACGGACGGACGGACGGTCGGACGGGCGGACGGATGTATAGATGGATGGCTGGCTGGATGGATGTATGAATGGCTGGATGGATGTATGGATGGATGTTAGAGGTCAAACCCTTCTGCTGCTGCTGATCAATCGCTTCCTGTTCTCTCTGCTTCTCAATTTTCCCTCGGATTTCCTTAAACAATTTCACATTTTTTTAGGCAAAGAATCAACAATCGCACACAGTCTCTCACCACGCTGGCATCATTTCACCAAGTATGGAAACAAATTTTAATTACTACGTAAAATGTGGAAACCTAAAAAATATGGCAAGAATTGCACAGGATTTTTTTCAATGACTATTAATTATCATCACATTACAAATTAATGCAAAATTTCTAGTAAAACTAATTAATTTTTGCCAACAGGAGCCATCCGACTTACCTCAGCAATTTCTTGGAACAGTTCGGTAAAGACTTTGTCCTTCAGATTAAATGTTCCACTATGGGCAGCTAGTCTTCGTTTCTAAATACAAGGTTACACAACACTCTATCATCCAAATTAATTGCACGTCAAAGTTTCAGCACTTGAATCACTTTACCTAACTGATCTCAATATACTGTTTAAATACTGAGATATGGTAAGCTGCACCACCTACTGGTCAGAAAATCTAAAATTTGCACATGGGTATATGAAAAATATACATGAAAAATATATCTAATGAATATTGAACAATTAAATTTTTATATAGCATAATTTAAACCTATTTTAACTGAAAATATGCAAGGAACCTATGGTCATGTCACATGTGTTCCTTTAACGTTCTATAAAACTGCAATATTTATCCAGCCTGTCACAGAGGAAAACTACAATGTTTACAGTAATATTGACCTACCTCATATTCTGATGTCTCTATACTACCTAGAGTTTGGCTGGTTTCAACCTGCAGATAAAAACAACAAGATAAGACCCAAGCTCTCTTATGCATTTCATTAATAGCATGATCACTAACATGACCAAAATTGTTGTAATAATTATAAACACTATATCCAGTTATATATGTGAAACAATTCATTTTAAAATTTCTAAATAATTAATGCACTAACAGTACATTTCATACACTATTGATGTTTAGATGCCAACTGATCTATAGCTATAGCTTGATGTCGCTGACGAATGAGCAAGAAAAAGATGCCCCCTCCCTGTATATTGTTGGTTTATCAGTCAAGCCATATACCAGTTTACATGTGTTTTTCACACACACACACACACACTGAGCAAGAAAAAGATGCCCCCTCCCTGTATATTGTTGGTTTATCAGTCAAGCCATATACCAGTTTACATGTGTTTTTCACACACACACACACTAGGTTGAAGACTTCGCTAATAAGAACTACTTTAGAACAAAGTTATCACAACAATGATTAGTCAGAGTCACCTGTCAATCTCCAAAGGCAGGTAAGGTCAATTAGCTATACTGTGTATTAGATTAGAGTCTTAAGTGGTCACTATAAGTATAATGGCTGATGACCAGACTGCAGTTTTACATCTTTACATCTTTAATACATATTTCTCTTAGGATTCAATCACAAATTAAACTTCTTGAAATTATAATGAAACCTTTATTTACACTAGCCTATAACCAAACTTGAATCACGATAACAAAAACTGTAACATACAGTCTCATCTTTAGATATCTTTATAAATGTCGCATGAGAAATTGTACATGAGATTTTATCTGAAAAGCACAAATGCATTGCAGACCTTCGCCAGTACCAATGCCATGCCCGACTGTTGGCATACATACCATGAAGCTCAACAACCCTGTCAATATTGTCGAGACCGACCAGGCAGGGTTCCACGTATCCGGATGAAAGTCACTGATCGACAAACACAACCTATACAGTAGAAATGACATGATAATAAGAGTGCCCTACAAGTCCACATCATCTATTGAGGGTGCAAACACTATAATTACACAAGAATAGAGTTGTTACAGAACCGCCACAAATTCTCATGATAGCACATTTCACATTCACATGAATTCACATAAATGTATAGCATAACACAAGACATTAGTTTGACGAAGAAAGACCAGGCTAACGATAGACAATACTAATGGCCTCCTATCGCCAACGTGTGGAAAATAATTCAATGCTTTGATCATTAAGTGAGATTATTAAGCTATATATAACAGTACTTGCTACATATAATAGCACAAGTAAAAGAATAAAAAATACACATTACCTTGTGTTTGTTTTAAATCGGCCATTTGGTGTGATCATGTATATGCTGGGGGGCTTGAAAGGGAATTCACTTGGAAATACGAGCTTGCCATGATATATTCCCCCTAATTAACATAATATGCATTAGAAACATGATTTGTACTGTGAAACACTCTGGTAAACACTTCACAAATCTACGAGCCAAAAAACGTCACTTGTGCAAAAAGGGTAAATCATGCAAAAACATGATCAGGTTGAAAGTGACAACACACAACAAGAATCCGTCAGAAATTTATATGCATTTACCTTCATATGGTGTATTTTCTGGCCCAAACACAATATACCTCCTGGAGAACAAACATACTGGATATAGCATCATCATTCTACATTGATTATACATTACTATCAAGTCTCTTCATACCTACACAATTACAACAACATGGCTGAAGAACACCGAATAACATAAAATTAAAGCAGCATTTTTTCTTTCTGACAAAAATTTTCTGGAGACAATAACATTAAGAAACTGTATTGCGCAACGACTTTGTAAACAGTGATACATAACTTACCACTCAAGAATATTTGACGGTAGAGGCAGAGCCGTAACGTATGGCACCGGATCTCGCATTATTCGTAGATAATCCTGTTTCAACCGGGCCGTTGCCGTTATGCACACCCGCTTTGACGACATGGTGTGTGTTGGTGAGCCAAGGTCGAAAAATTTCTATATGAAACAATGTGTATGATTGAAAGTGCGAAAGAAATGTTATATAGAATGTGAATATTTGTTTTCAGGTGTATTGAGTGTTATCACAATACTAGATTACTAGATCATAGCAGAGACTCACTCAACTTGTGAATCATACATGTGTTAATTGCTATACAGTCACTATTTTAGTGCCCATATTTTATTTGTTGGCCCCATGCTTGTTCTTATGTACACCTATCGAGTCTCCCTACCCAATGGGGCTGAACTATGAAATATTAAGAATTATCCAGTGGTCACCCTGTCTTTTTACTCCATAGCATTGTATACAATAAGGTAGCCTCCTAGTAGTAATCTAAGCAGCACTGACAATATGTCGATACTCTTAGAAGCACCAAAATCTTTTTTTTTTAAATAACAAGTAGTGTGGCTGAATTTATACTAAATATTACATGGCAACATATCCATATGAACTACGTCTAACACTAATCAGAAACTAAGCAAAAACCAAACATCAATAATGGCACCATAATTAATTGAGGCAAGAACTTTTCATCAACAATTAGAGGTAAATTCACAAAGCTGTGGCTTAATTTATCAATCAGCTAATATCTATTTGAGCTTTACGATGAGAGAGCTTATGGAGCTTTATGGAGGCTTTTGGAAAGAGTTTTATTTCCCCTTGTTTATCCACAGTCATCTCTTAAGTATTCCTTATCGTAGTCCAACATATACTGCATTTGAGCAGCTTAAACTGTCTCGTGTCTTGGCGCGAGTCCCACCCAGCACTGTCAAAGCAATAGTGAGAATGACCGAGATGCACCCTGGTAGTGGCACCTGCTTCACCAGCTTCCAAGATCCGTCTCAGCACAGCACCCCCCCCCCCGGCACTTGGAGCGTTTCAATAAAATATAATGCTAAATAAATACGAAATCTATTTACTACCAATTTACCAAAGAAGTACTATTCTCAACACAAACCTATCTTCTTCGCTATCTTGGAACTTACTATGTATCACAATACTCTGTATTAAACCAATATAACCTGTTACAAAAATTCGAAGTGACGAGCGGCGAAGTAACGAGCGGCGAATATACTGAGCGCCATTTCTGTTGACCTGTGATGTACTTCGGTTTGAAGAGCGGATTCACTGACCAATCGAAGGGCGCTGCGCATTGAGAATGCGTACGTCACAGGTCAACAGAAATGGCGCTCGAAATATCCGCCGCTCGTCACTTCGAATTTTTGTAACAGGTTATATTAGTTTAATACAGAGTATTGAGATACATAGTAAGTTCCAAGTAGTAGTAGTAGTAGTAGTAGTAGTAGTAGTAGTAGTAGTAGTAGCAGGAGTAAGATAATATAGGTAAGATCCTATATTAATAGATAAGATTCTATAATATAGGTAAGATCCTATATTATCTTAGTCCTGGTAGTAGTAGTAGTAGTAGTAGTAGTAGTAGTAGTAGTAGTAGTAGTAGTAGTAGTAGTAGTAGTAGTAGTAGTAGTAGGTAGTAAACATTTTCTATGATCGGGTCGCTGTTCTATTCGTAGGTCGCGTTCGTAAAAAAAAATTAAAAAAAAAATGTGCTTTAACATACTTGCACGTACATACATATATCATGTTTAATGAGTTTGCTCTTGGTTTAAACACACGATGTTTTCCCGTGCTGACTGGCTGCAGTTCGCTTCTTTTCCCCGTCCTCACACCAAGCGTTGAAACATACAAGAGAAACGTGCACATTGAGATTATAAACATATACTTTCCACCAGCTCATCCAAAATAGCCGATTTATCATTTTCAACAAATACACTTGCCTGGAACGCATATTCGTTCTCGTAGTAGATAACCAATATTATAAACGCTGGTCACTTCGATCATAGCCCATAAAGTTTGTATTTATATGTGAAACACGCGATGAGCGAGAGTAGTGGTGATGAGGCATCCAAGCGTTATTTATACAGAAAAACAACGGCCGCCGTCGTCTTATTGTAGCTGCCGAAAAATCGAAAACGCATAAAAACCGAAGGGGCAACGGCTTGATACAGTTCATATATTGCGTTATCGTGTCTTCATTACTTCTTCAACACATTACTTGTCTCTAACAAGTATCTACTTTCTTAATGTAATTTATTTCATAGTCAAGTCATGACCTATGTCATACTCCAAGCAGTAATAGGTAGTACAGCGAATATAAGCACATAAAATTGGGCACATTGTGCACTTTTTGTTGAATTGTGAAACTTTGCACACGCATAACACAATAGGTCCTGAAGATTTTCTGATATATACCGCGTTCACACGGCAATGGTTTGGCTCGAGCTAAATGGGTTAAATTTAGTTCGGGCCGGTTTGAGTCGGAGCGTTCACACGTACGCAAGCGAATACTGTCTGTCCGACTGTCGCGAGATGGCGTTATGTACGATTCAGTGTTTAGCCTACATCCGTTCCGAATTTTTATACTGTTTTGGACTTTATTTCGTTGAAGTACACGGTCGACACTCGCGGCATCTACCGCTCTACCGATTTTGCTGGTGCTACAATTTGGCTCGGGCCTGGCCAGACGTTTTCGATGAGACCAAAATTAATTGGCTCGTGCTAACTCGGCACGGCTCCGAAAAACCGTCCGTGTGAACGCTCGGCTCGCGCCAAATTTGGCGCCTATATGTCAAAATGTTACTTATTTAGTTGGCAAATACACTGTGTTAAAAATACTGCAGTGACGATGATTTTTGACATATCGGTCATTTAATATGCAAGTTTTCATTATTTTGAACCATTTCATTATTTCAACCTTACTTTATTTCAACTTAAAGATAGCTACACTCAATGAATTGCTTCTAAAATATTAGTATAGATATCTACGAATAAATTTAACTATTTCTTGAATAAATTGGATGGGTATTATTGAAATTATAGCCCAAACCCTAAGAGTGTTATAACGCGATACGCGTTAACACGCCAGAGAGCGCTGTATGCCACAAGATGACGCTGTTCCTTTGGTACGTTATCAGAACTAGAATATATACTATATACTATACTATATACCAAGAGTAGATAATAAAACCATGGTTTTATTATCTACTCTTGTATATACATATATATCTATATATATATAGTATCAGGAGCTAATAATGACAAATTTATCATTATTAGCTCCTGATAGTATATATATATACTTCAGGACCTCATGTAGTCATAGAACTAGAATAGAACGCGTGTGCAGTTTCACAATTCTAACCAAAAGTGCACAATCCATGTGCTTATCTGCTAGACAATAAGTCATGCCTGTGACATGAAAGAAACCAGGGGTCCAAGTCCAAAATATCAAAACTTTTCACACCGCACTTCACTTATGACAATGTTCAAGTTATGACAATGTTTAAGTTGTGAAAATTTAGAATCAATATTTCACGACTATTCATTATGTTTATGTCAACGGGCTTTAGACAATTATCATTGTCATACACACGACAGCGAGCAAACATTACCAAACGCCACACTCAGTATCAAGAGTTATTTATCAGTTTATTTTTTATTTCTAGCCATTAATATGATAAATATAAACACTGAAACTATCATCCTCGAGAATGTTTAATATAATCCTGTATGCCTCCACGCATACTAGCTCTATTAAAAGAGCGAGAGTGAGGCATAAAATTCTAGCACAGACGTAGAGAGAACACAGTGCAGGATCTGAATAACTCATGATAATACTACGTAGTTCTGACTATTAACAATTTTTCATGTTCACCTTTATGATAATACTGTGATTATATGTAGACATAAATGCATAAACACACATATGCATACATCGGTTCACAGGAATACCATATACAGAGTATACGGGGTTGTAGAAGGGCTATCACTCTTGACACATATGCCAAAGTAGCCATCATAGTGATTAATTAAAAAAATGTAAAATTAATATCTATATGTCTCTACAGTGAATCGCCAGACAAGTCTCCAGTTACTAGCATTTGCAGTCAGATGTGTGTTAATTATCATACACGAACAAGGCTATCGAGTTGTACTATTCATGCAAAAGCAATATAAACATTAATTTTACAATCACGTATGTACACACAACGAGAACCCATCCGGCAACGAAAAGCGCATCAGTGCGACTTAATACCGGCGCCCAAGAACGTAAGCATACAGCTGTACAGATGTTGTAACGTCAGTAAGAATAGTATAGCTGTAAAGATGTTACCACAGCAGCAACTATATATACAGCTGTAACAGTGTAAGGATGTTACCACAGCAGCAACCATATATATATACAGCTGTAACAGTGTAAGGATGTTACCACAGCAGCAACTATATATACAGCTGTAACAGTGTAAGGATGTTACCACAGCAGCAACTATATATACAGCTGTAACAGTGTAAGGATGTTACCACAGCAGCAACTATATATACAGCTGTAACAGTGTAAGGATGTTACCACAGCAGCAAACTATATATACAGCTGTAACAGTGTAAGGATGTTACCACAGCAGCAAAACTAGATATACCAGCGTAACAGTGTAAGAGTATGTTACCACAGCAGCAACCATATATAATTACAGCTGTAACAGTGTAACGATGTTACCACAGCAGCAACTATATAGTACAGGCTGTATACAGTGTAAGGATGTTACCACAGCAGCAACTATATATACAGCTGTAACAGTGTAAGGTATGTTACCACAGCAGCGCAACTATATATACAGCTGTAACAGTGTAAAGGATGTTACCACAGCAGCAACGTATATATATATAACAGCTTAACAGTGTAAGGATGTAAACCACACCAGCAACTACATATATATATACAGCTGTAACAGTGTAAGGATGTTACCACACCAGCAACTACATATATATATACAGCTGTAACAGTGTAAGGATGTTACCACACCAGCAACTACATATACAGCTGTAACAGTGTAAGGATGTTACCACAGCAGCAACTATATATATATATATAGCTGTAACAGTGTAAGGATGTTACCACAGCAGCAACTACATATACAGCTGTAACAGTGTAAGGATGTTACCACAGCAGGCAACTACATATATTCAGCTGTAACAGTGTAAGGACGTTACCACGATCAGCACTATATATATACAGCTGTAACAGTGTAAGGAATGTTACCACAGCAAGCAACTACATATATTATTACAGCTGTAACAGGTGTAAGGATTTACCACACCAAGCAACTACATATACAGCTGTAACAGTGTAAGGATGTTACACAGCAGCAACAACATATACAGCTGTAACAGTGTAAGGATGTTTACCACACAGCAATATATATATAAAAGCTGTAAACAGTGTAAGATGTTACCACCAGCTAGCAGCAACTACATATACAGCTGTAACCCAGTTCTAACGGGATGTTACCACAGCAAGCAACTATATATACAGCTGTAACAGTGTAAGGATGTTACCACAGCAGCAACTACATATACAGCTGTAACAGTGTAAGTATGTTACCACAGCAAGCAACTATATATACAGGCTGTAACAGTGTAAGTGATGTTATACACAGCAGCAACTATATATACAGCTGTAACAGTGTAAGGATGTTCCACAGCAGCAACTACATATACAGCTGTAACAGTGTAAGTATGTTACCACAGCAGCACTATATATACACAGCTGTAACAAGTGTAAGGATGTTACCACATGCAGCAACTATATATACAGCTGTAACAGTGTAAGTATGTTACCACAGCAGCAGACTACATATACACGCTGTAACAGTGTAAGGATGTTACGCACAGCAGCAACTACATATAAGCAGCTGTAACAGTGTAAGATGCTACCACAGCAGCAACTATATATACAGCTGTAAACAGTGTAAGGATTTAACCAGACAGCAACTATATATACAGCTGTAACAGTGTAAGGATGTTACCACAGCAGCACCACATAGATATAATCAGCTGTAACAGTGTACAGGATGTTACCGACAGCAGCAACCATGAATATATACAGCTTGTGAACAGTGTAAAGATGTTACCATAGCAGCAACCATATATACAGCTGTAACAGTGTAAGGATGTTACCACAGCAGCAACCATATATACAGCTGTAACAGTGTAAGGATGTTACCACGTCAGTAAGCATACAGTTGCACAGTCATACCAATACAGTAAAGCTTACAGCTGTTAACATGACATCGAAAATGGGTCCAGAATATTACTGTGCAGTGAACAGAGAACATATTTTACAGTGTACGCAAACGCTGCAAACCCAACTAGCATGAACATGTTTGTGAGAGCACCACCGATCCACCATTCTGAGCTGCATGCTGCTGTGCCTCCGTCATAGTGGTCTTTCTTGTCAAAGTGTTAGAGGTCAAACCCTTCTGCTGTGCTGATCAATCGCTTCCTGTTCTCTCTGGCTTCTCAATTTTCCCTCGATTTCCTTAAACAATTTCACATTTTTTTAGGCAAAGAATCAACAATCGCACACGAGTCTCTCACCACGCCTGGCATCATTTCACCAAGTATGGAAACAAATTTAATTACTAACGTAAAATGTGGAAACCTAAAAATATGGCAAGAATTGCACAGGATTTTTTTCAATGACTATTAATTATCATCACATTACAAATTAATGCAAATTTCTAGTAAAACTAATTAATTTTTGCCAACAGGAGCCATCCGGACTTTACCTCAGCAATTTCTGGAACAGTTCGGTAAAGACTTTGTCCTTCAGATTAAATGTTCCACTATGGACAGCTAGTCTTCGTTTTCTAAATACAAGGTTACACAACACTCTATCATCCAAATTAATTGCCACGTCAAAGTTTCAGCACTTGAATCACTTTAACCTAACTGATCTCAATATACTGTTTAAATACTGAGAATATGGTAAGGCGCACCACCTACTGGTCAGAAAATCTAAAATTCCGCACATGGTATATGAAAAATATACATGAAAAATATATCTAATGAATATTGAACAATTAAATTTTTATATAGCATAATTTAACACTATTTTAACTGAAAATACTGCAAGGAACCTATGGTCATGTCACATGTGTTCCTTTAACGTTCTATAAAACTGCAATATTTATCCAGCCGTCACATGAGGAAAACTACAATGTTTACAGTAATATTGACCTACCTCATATCTGATGTCTCTATACTACCTAGAGTTTGGCTGGTTTCAACCCTGCAGATAAAAACAACCAGATAAGACCGCAAGCCTCTTATGCATTTCATTAATAGCATGATCACTAACATGACGCAAAATTGTTGTAATAATTATAAACACATATCCAGTTATATATGTGAAACAATTCATTAAAAAATTTCTAAATAATTAATACACTAACAGTACATTTCATACACTATTGATGTTTAGATGCCAACTGATCTCTAGCAATTTGATATAGAATTGTATAATTGCTATAGCTTGATGTCGCTGACGAATGAGCAAGAAAAAGATGCCCCGCCTCCCTGTATATTGTTGGTTTATCAGTCAAGCCAAATACAGTTTACATGTGTTTTTCACACACACACATAGGTTGAAGACTACGCTAATAAGAACTACTTTAGAACAAAGTACTCACAACAATGATTAGTCAGAGTCACCTGTCAATCTCCAAAGGCAGGTAAGGTCAATTAGCTATACTGTGTATTAGATTAGAGTCTTAAAGTGGTCACTAATAAGTATAATGGCTGATTGACCAGACTGCAGTTTTACATCTTACATCTTTAAATACATATTTCTCTTAGGATTCAATCACACAATAAACTTCTTGAAATTATAATGAAACCTTTATTTACACTAGCCTATAACCAAACTTGAATACACGATAACAAAAACTGTGACATACAGCCTCATCTTTAGATATCTTTAAAATGTCGCATGAGAAAATTGTACATGAGATTTTATCTGAAAAGCAACAAATGCATTGCAGACCTTCGCCAGTACCAAATGCCATGCCCGACTGTTGCATACATACCATGAAGCTCAACAACCCTGTTAAATATGTCGAGACCGACCAGGCAGGGTTCCACGTATCCCGGAAAGTCACTGATCGACAAACACAACCTATACAGTAGAAATGACACTGATGAATAAGAGTGCCCTACAAGTCCACACCATCTTATTGAGGTGCAAACACTATAATTACACAAGAATAGAGTTGTTACAATAACCGCCACAAATTCTCATGATAGCACATTTCACATTCACATTAATTCACATAAATGTTAAGCAAGGAACACAAGACATTAGTTTGACGAAGAAAGACCAGGCATACAATAGACAATACTAATGGCCTCCTATCGCCAACGTGTGGAAAAATAATCAATGCTTTGATCATTAAAGTGGATTATTAAGCCTATATATAACAGTACTTGCTACATATAATATCACAAGTAAAAGAATAAAAAATACACATTACCTGTGTTTGTTTTAAATCGCCATTCGGCTTGTGATCATGTATATGCTGGGGGCTTGAAAGGGAATTCACTTGGAAAATACGAGCTTGCCATGATATATTCCCCCTATTAACATAATATGCATTAGAAACATGAATTTGTACTGTAAACACTCTGGTAAACACTTTCACAAAACTACGAGCCAAAAAAACGTCACTTGTGCAAAAAGGGTAAATCACGCAAAAACATGATCAGGTTGAACGTAACAACACACAACAAGAATCCGTCAGAAATTTATATGCATTTACCTTCATATGGTGTATTTCTGGGCCCAAACACAATATACCTCCTGGAGAACAAACATACTGATATAGCATCATCATTCTACATTGATTATACATTACTATCAAGTCTCTTCAACCTACACAATTACAACAACATGGCTGAAAACACCGAATAACATAAAATTAAAGCAGCATTTTTTTCTTTCTGGCAACAAAATTTCCTGGAGACAATAACATTAAGAAACGTATTGCGCAACGACTTTGTAAACAGTGAGTACATAACTTACCACTCAAAGAATATTTGACGGTAGAGGCAGAGCCGTAACGTATGGCAGCCGGATCTCGCATTATTCGTAGATAATCCTGTTCAACCGGGCCCGTTGGTTATGCACACCCGCTTTGACACACATGGTGTGTTGGTGAACCAAGGTCGAAAAATTTCTATATGAAACAAATGTGTATGATTGAAAGTGCGAAAGAAAAATGTTATATAGAATGTGAATATTTGTTTTCAGTTGTATTGAGTGTTATCACAATACTAGATTACTAGATCATAGCAGAGACTCACTCAACTTGTGAATGATACATGTGTTAATTGCTATACAGTCACTATTTTAGTGCCATATTTTAATTTGTTGGCCCCCATGCTTGTTCTATGTACACCTATCGAGTCTCCCTACCCAATGGGCTGAACTATGAAATATTAAGAATTACCCAGTGGTCACCCTGTCTTTTTACTCCATAGGCATTGTATAACAATAAGGTAGCCTTCCTAGTAGTAATCTTAAGCAGGCACTGACAATATGTCGATACTCTTAGAAGCAGCCAAAATCTTTTTTTTAAATAACAAGTAGTGTGGCTGAATTTATACTAAATATTACATGGCAACATATCCATATGAACTACGTCTAACACTAATCAGAACTAAGCAAAAAACCAAGCATCAATAATGGCACATAATTAATGTGAGGCAAGAACTTTTCATCAACAATTAGAGGTAAATTCACAAAGCTGTGGCTTAATTTATCAATCAGCTAAATACTATTTGAGCTTCGATGAGAGAGCTAATGGAGCTTTATGGAGGCTTTTGGAAAGAGTTTTATTCCCCTTGTTTATCCACAGTCATCTCTTAAGTATTCCTTATCGTAGTCCAACATAATACTGCATTTGAGCAGCTTAAACTTCTCGTGTCTTGGCGCGAGTCCCACCCAGCACTGTCAAAGCAATAGTGAGAATGACCGAGATGCACCCTGGTAGTGGCACCTGCTTCACGCAGCTTCCAAGATCCGTCTCAGCACAGCAGACCCCCCCCCCCCCGGCACTTGGAGCGTTTCAATAAAATATAATGCTAAATAAATACGAAATCTATTTACTACCAATTTACCAAAAAGAAGTACTATTCTCACACAAACCTATCTTCTTCGCTATCTTGGAACTTACTATGTATCACAATACCTATATTAAACCAATATAACCTGTTACAAAAATTCGAAGTCACGAGCGGCGAATATACTGAGCGCCATTTCTGTTGACCTGTGATGTACTTCGTTTGAAGAGCGGATTCACTGACGCAATCGAAGGCGCTGCGCATTGAGAATGCGTACGTCACAGGTCAAACAGAAATGGCGCTCGAAATATCCGCCGCTCGTTCACTTCGAAATTTTTGTAACAGGTTATATTAGTTTAATACAGAGTATTGAGATATACATAGAAGTTTCCAAGATTTAGCGAGAAGGTTCCGTGTTGAGAATAAACCCAGTTTGGTAAGTTCTAAGTCTCCTGAAAAACGCACCAGCAAACCGCCCGAGTGATTTCACTCAGGGTTCCCTGAATTTCCTCCACAAGAAAACCATAGGCGACGCCGTTGTAACCCTATCCTGAATTTGGTTAAATTATATTGTACTCAGTGATATCCCCACACTGAAGAAGCTGACATTGACAAGCATATCATGTAATCAAGGTGTTCTGGTGTTTCCCTCGCGGCTTTCTGATACGGACTTGCAGGCCACCGGTTTTTGCGCGCAGCGTCGAACACTCGCGGCGAGGCCGCGCCCCAACAGCGAAACACGCGCCCCCTTTTTGTCCCCTTAGACAGATATCCGTTAAGACAGGGGTCTGAAAACAAAACTCCGCAGCAAAACTCGGGCGGCAATCACCGACATTTGGGATGGACGGGTGAGGCCAATCTCCAAACGAGCCCCTAAAAACTTTTTTTGGGTGGCAGCATCTGCATGGCTAAGACGTAGTGCTCCTACAAGAAACTCAAGAAATGCTGTCCAAATAAGCAATGACCGCTCGCTCATTGGCCGCTACGCGATGACGTGCGCTACGCGCTGAGTATATGCATTACGTCTATCACAGAGCTTTGTAACGAAGACGTGTACGGCGCTCCACGTGGGCTGGCGCGGTCTAATGCTATCTCCAAAAGCTGCCGCCGTGCGCGGCGCCTGCCTGCGTACGTGCGAGGTTTTTATCAACTTCTTGACCCCGCGCTGCCCGTGGCGACGAAGCACGTCGTGCGAGCACGGTGCTGGCGTGGCCGTGGCAGTTTTTACAACATAGCTAATCCTACAATACCCGCCACACTGACACCACAACAATATATATATGCACATGTTTTTACGAAGACGGCGGAGCGCGACATTCCAGCCTCCCTCCTCCCCGCGCTCATCGTGGCGGCCGGGCACGGTCGAAATGCATCTCCAACAAACGCTGGCTCGGAGAGTTTTTGCGCACGCGGTGAACTTTGGCTAGTAAATAAGATTTCGTATTTATTTAGCATTACATTTTATTGAAACCTGCAAGTGCTTGTGTGCCTGGCTGTGGCAGCAATTGATGCATGTATAAGATACCTTATTAACCGTGGCGGCGGAGGCGAGCGAGAGGGAGAGAGGGAGAGAGGTGAGAGGGAGAGAGAGAGAGAGGTGAGAGAGAGAGAGAGAGAGAGAGAGAGAGAGAGAGAGAGAGAAAGGGGAGAGAGAGAGAGACAGACCGTGGGAGTGCGAGAAAGAGAGAAAAGAGAGTGGGAGAACGGCCAGATTAAGGTACGAAAAAACGGCAGGTGACAGTACGACGGCGAGGATGTACAAAGCGCGTGTCAAATCTATAATCGGAAAAGACCCCCCCTCCAAAGCCGATGTAGCCGAGCCGATGTACGTGTCCCGAAAACTGCGCGATGTTAGGCTGCCCGCTATACGCATTCGCGCGCCCGCCTTCCTTCGGCGCGCGAATTCGTATAGCAGGGAGCGCGAGATGCTACATACAACACCCCGCGGTCGCGTGCGCCCAGTCCCGCGGAAGTGCGCGGCTTAACCGCTTTCGGCGGTCGGGGAACAACGCATCTTTTGCGCAACGCCATCTTGTACCCGGTCTCTCTGGACATATCAAATACAAAGCACTGTTCTTATGAATATGTAAGACACGGTGTGTTTGTGGGAGTGGCTAGCAACTGAGCGCTGTCACGTTTCAGGTGCAGTTTCAGGTACAGACGCTGGAATGCATTTAAACATAGTCATACTCATAGTGACGTAAGCCTAACAACAATTATACTTATAGTCAATAACAAACCTTGCTTCACCACCTATTCAATAGGCCTAATAATGAGGCTGTTGTAGATCCTAGCATTCAGTACGAGCGTCACCTTACAATAGTAAGGAACTGGAGATTATATGACCCAGCCAACGTCACCAATAAGACACTATATGAAATTACTAACAGAAAAATACACAATCTGTAAGAGGAAACGGAACTGATTGCGACACCTAACCTCTAAAATTAAACAAGCCCGGTTGCCGGGTCTATACGACGTGATAGCATTCCGACCGGTGACTCGGCATATTTTCTTTAGAATAGTTATCAGTTTTACAAAATATATAATACCACTCAACACAATCATATACATTGTAATGCCTTTATTCTTGACACCAACAGTAAACGCAAACGATTGTCACAGAATAAAAATTACATTACAATATACGAACAAAATAAAAATTTTCAGGTTTAGAAATACAAATTACTGCTAGTACAAAAACGGTAGGTGTCAGCACTATCTAATATTCTAATAGAGCACCTCCATTTGATCATAATCCTCTAATCCTCCATAAGGAGGATCCTCCTCAAAGGAGTTTCGTAAAGGAATCCTCTTCATGGAGCTACTTTAGTTTTTACCAAAGATCGTTTTTACACCTAACTAGAGTCAATTTCTATACCTAACTAATGTCAGACTATAGTCAGCATATAAATCAACTTATATTATATATCTTATATTATCTTGTATCTTATATGATATATCTTGTATGATCATATAGAGCATAATATTGATTTATATGCTTTGCGAATGTATGATTGGGTTGAGTATAAATACCGGTGACTGGTGACTCACTGACCGTCTAACGCTGAAGGGGTCGTTGTCGTATTAGGTACCCGAGGTACGTACATGTATGTATACACAAGTGTACCAGACCTGTATCTTCTCAGCATATATGTAGTACCCTGTGTTTAAATAAACGTACCTGCCCCTGAGATGGAGATCGAATGAAGACGGTCATGGAGGAGGAGTAGGGGGCAGAAGGAGGAGGCGGAGGAAGAGGGGAGAAGGGGATGGAGTAGAGGGAGGAAGAGGAGGAGCGGAGCAGGTGATGGAGATCGAATGAAGAAGGTCATGGAGGAGGAGTAGGGGGCAGGAGGAGGAGGATGAGGAGCGGAGAAGGTGATGGAGATCGAATAAAGGTCACGGAGGAGGAGTAGGGCCAGGAAGAGAAGGAGGAGGAGTAGGGGCAGGAGGAGGAGGAGGAGGAGAAGGAGGAGGAGGGGAGAAGGTGATGGAGTAGGGGAGAGAGGGAGAAAGGATGGAGCGGAGCAGGTGATGGAGATCGAATTGAGAAGTCATGGAGGAGGAGTAGGGGCAGGAGGAGGAGGTGAGAGCGAGAAGTGATGGAGATCGAATAAAGGTCACGAGAGGAGTAAGGCCAGAGAAGAAGAGAAGAGGGAGGAGTAAGGCAGGAGGAGGAAGGAGGAGGAGAAGAGGAGAGGGAGAAAGGTGATGGAGTAGGGGTGAGGAGCGAGGAGGGGAGAAAGGTGAGGAGTGGGGGAAGAGGAGGACGGAGAAGGTGAGTGGAGATCGAATGAAGATGGTCATGAAGAAGGAGTAGAGGAGACAGGAAGAGGATAAGGAGAGGAGGAGGGGGAGGAGGAGGAAGGAACAACCACTCCTCCTCTTCCCTTCTACTCCAAAACACCGTCTCCCTCCTCCTCCTCCTCCTCCTCTCCTCCTCTTCTCCCCTTCCACCTTACCCCACAGGCACCTAACTCCAACACCCTCTCCCCTCTTCCTACCTCTCGCCACCTACTCCCTCCTCCTCTCTGCGCCTCCTTTCCGCTACTCCACACTCCCAACCGGTCTCACCCTCCTGCCTCCTACTCCTCCTTCCTTATTATCACACTTCCCCCTCCTCCTCCTCTCTACCTACCATGGCACCTTCTCGCCGCTCCTCCCTTTTCCTTCCCCATCATCCCCTTGCTCCAATCACCTTCTCCCCTCTCTCCTCACGTCTCCCCTTCCTCCTCCTCCTCCTCCTCTCTAGCCCTACCCTCTCCATGACCGCTTCATTCGATCTCCATCACCTTCTCGCACTCCTCCTCCTACCCTCTCCCCTCCTCCTCCTCCTCCTCCCCTACTTCATAAATGACCTTCTCCCCGCCTCCTCTCCCTCCTCCCCTCCCCTGCCCCTACTCCCTCGCTCTCATGACCGTCTTCATTCGATCTACATCACCTTATCCGCTCCTCCTCCTCCCCTCTCATTCCCTCCCCTCCTACTCTGCCTCCATGACCGTCTTCATTCGATCTTCATCACCTCTCTCTCCGCTCCTCCTCCTTCTCCTCCTTCTCCCTCCTGCCTCCATCCTGCACCGCCCCTACTCTCCTCCTGACGTCTTCATATCGATCTCCCAATCA